TAGATCAGGAGGAGGGGGAGGAGAGGAAGGGATTGAGGGATAGATGGGTAGGGCTAACGGCTGTCGTATCAGTCTGTATGCATCTGGATTGGATGCTTCTGCTCCTGCAAGGAGACCGTCGGCAAGTAGATTGGCCGGGGCAACTGGGATCTCTCCATCTGTAACTCACCTTTCTTTTCTCCTGCCTTGCTCATTCTGACTTGCGCAGTCACCCGAAGACAAGAACTTGAAGCCTGAGGGTCCCTGGAAGCGTCTTCGCGTTCCCTTTGACTTGCAGACCTCCAGGTGACTCCATCTGTGCTCGAGAGTCGCAGGGGAGGTGACGAACCACAGGATCATCAGGTGGTTTGCGTTGGGTCTTCATGTCTGGGGTTACCTCGCCGGCCACGTCGCCTCCTTCACCATCCTCTCTCCGGTGACTAGATCCCCGGCTCCTCTCGCCTCCTCATGCTCCCCAGGCGCTGCCGATCACAGGCAAGGTGCCCTACACGATTCATCTACCTAACAGGAAAGGAGGTTCATGACAGAAACTGATGCTTTCATTCCCTCGGGCTCAAGCCGCTAGCTTCCTCGGCAAGATGTTGCTCACGTGCACGCCGTCGTCTACGTCGCCGTCGTCGAACTCAACGCGATACAGCTGGTCGGCATGGCAGGCGCCGATCACTCCATCGAAGAATTCCTCAGACCCTTGAAACCTAGATGTGACATGTAACTGACATGTAACGACACGCGTCATCGGCTTGCTCTCACCTCGCCACCACTCGGTCGCCGGTGGAGAAGGAGGAGGGTTTGAGGATCACGTGACTCGCCGCCACCTGCTCGTCCTCGTCCCCGTCGTCGAACTTGACGTGGAAGCGTCCGTTGGCGTGCATGGCGTGAATAACTCCATCGAAGAACTCCTCCGAGCCTTCAAACCTTCACTCCAGTCAGATCAAACCTCAGCCTCCAACTCCCACCGGGCAAGAACTTTGTCACCAACTGAAAAACCTTTCAGAGAAGGAGCACCTAAAAACGTTTTCAGAGAACCACTACAACCAACACGATGATCCGACCAGAGCAGATGACATCACCACAAAACGATCCCTCTGACACGTCACATGGCGACGACCCTCCAGATGAAAGCAAATCCTGTTGCTCAGCAGATTCCTGGGGGAGATCGATCCGCTCCAGCAGCCCTCCGAGCTCCTCTGCCAGCCCGTCTGGACCGCTTCCCTCCCCGGCCTCTGCTGCCCGCTGGTGCGCTGCCCTGGCTCCCGCCAGGTCGCCCTTCTCCAGCAGCTCCTCAGCCTCCTTGAGCGCGCGTGACGCCTCCTCCGTCCTTCTCGCCGCCTCCTCCTTCCCCTCGATCCGCTCCAGCAGCCCTCCGAGCTCCTCTGCCAGCCCGTCTTGCCCGCTTCCCTCCCCGGCCTCTGCTGCCCGCTGGTGCGCTGCCCTGGCTCCCGCCAGGTCGCCCTTCTCCAGCAGCTCTTCAGCCTCCTTGAGCGCGCGTGACGCCTCCTCCGTCCTTCTCGCCGCCTCCTCCTTCCCCTCGATCCGCTCCAGCAGCCCTCCGAGCTCCTCTGCCAGCCCGTCTTGACCGCTTCCCTCCCCGGCCTCTGCTGCCCGCTGGTGCGCTGCCCTGGCTCCCGCCAGGTCGCCCTTCTCCAGCAGCTCTTCAGCCTCCTTGAGCGCGCGTGACGCCTCCTCCGTCCTTCTCGCCGCCTCCTCCTTCCCCTCGATCCGCTCCAGCAGCCCTCCGAGCTCCTCTGCCAGCCCGTCTGGACCGCTTCCCTCCCCGGCCTCTGCTGCCCGCTGGTGCGCTGCCCTGGCTCCCGCCAGGTCGCCCTTCTCCAGCAGCTCTTCAGCCTCCTTGAGCGCGCGTGACGCCTCCTCCGTCCTTCTCGCCGCCTCCTCCTTCCCCTCGATCCGCTCCAGCAGCCCTCCGAGCTCCTCTGCCAGCCCGTCTGGACCGCTTCCCTCCCCGGCCTCTGCTGCCCGCTGGTGCACTGCCCTGGCTCCTGCGGGGTCAGGTTTTTTCAGCTGGTTTTTGGCCTTGTTGACGTCGTGTTGTGCTATGTTTTGGATGGATGAGATTTCAATAACCTCTTTTTCGTTTGGATCGCTTTCCTCCAAGGTTATGAAGTACATTCCTCCTTTTCTTCTAAGTGATTGGAGGATATCTTTCTTTTTGCATTCTGCGGGCATATCATCTCCAATGTTTGGTCGTATTGTTATCCAGAAGGGCCATGTTCCCGTGAAAGAGAAGGAATGGATAGTTGGCTGGGGTCCAAGCATTCTGCACTTGACCTCGTGATGAATGTAAGCGCTGAGAATACTCTTCCATAATTCTTGATATTCGATGGAGGATCCGAACATGTTCGATAGAACTTCGAGCCACTTCTACCTGTTTGAAAGAGAAAAGTGAGGAACAAGATCAGAATGAAATACAGCAAGTCGTTGTTTGCACCGAACCAGTTCTCGTGGCATTTACGGTAAGTGTTCTAGCTTCAGAGATCCCTTTCTAGATTCGCTGATTCGTTCTCTTCCTCTTCCTTCATCGGAGATCTCTAGATCATCCTCCTCTTCCTTCATCGGAGATCTCTAGATCATCCTCCTCTTCCTTCATCGGAGATCCTTCCTTCTTCCTTCACCCTCCCCCTTCATCTTTTCTTGCTACTTGCATGCTGTGTACACTGGGATCCCCGACCGAAGATTTCTCCCATTTCAGCTTTGTTCCCACTTATTTCAATAATCACTCAAAAGTTTTTTGAGGTTTTAAAATATGGTCATAATAATTTCTGATTGACTTAATGCTGATACCCTCGACCAAAATTGTCATAATATTGTTCTATTTCAGGCACATTTTCGGCTAACAAAGTTTTGACCACCCCTACCCCACCAATCCTCTGCCAGTACCCCCACACATTCATTCCTCTCGGCCTCCGGCGACTGTCACTACTCCGGAAGTCGTACGGTTCAGTCGGAAGCTGCCGGGCCCGGGCCGGGGCCCGATCGGACTTGATTGCCGGGCCCGACCGCTGAGACCGTGACCCGGTCCATCAGTGCGGCCGCCGTCAGTGGGCCGGCACCAAGGCAACGAGTGAGAAGCCAAGTAAAGGCCTGCGGAGTGCGGTTCTGTGACTGTGAAGAGAACCGTGGTGAAGACATCGGACATATTTCTACAGCAACAGAGCATAGTTCATACTGTTACAACCCTCCATCACTTTCCTGCCTCGCGGTCGTCAGGGTAGCGATACTTCATCCTCATCCTCTCCTTGTTCATCGGCATTTCAACTTCGCCTGCCAGCACCCCCGTCAGCTCTTTTCTCTCCCCAAAGGTCCCTGAACCTCCTCCAGGGAACGAAGGCGTTGGGATCCAGTCCATGCGTCTCAGCGGCGCTCCCTTCTCCCACGCCTGCGCATAGCTCAGCTGCTGGTAACCGAGGAGGAAGACTCACCGGCATCCACGGATACCATTGCATGAGGCCGTGCTGTGGGGCTCCGCGCCTCCTGCCTTCAGCGACGGAAGGATACGCCATGCTTGCGGCCGGGTGCTTCTTGAGGAAGCGATCAATGCCGTTGATGTCGTACATGAGCCCTCCTGAGAAGTTTCGCTGGTACTCCGAGCACATCAGCCCATAGGCCTTGGACTTGCTTGACATGCTTCGATTCTTGTCGACCATCTGACTGATTATCAATCCTGCCCTCGGCTCCCTCTCTCTCTACCTTGCTGTCGACTTGCTTGTGCTCATGCGCCCAGTCAGCTCCCTCAGGCCGATGTCCTTCCGTCCATCGCATGTTGTGCTCACCTCGATGCTAACTCCGGTCAGCCAACAACTTGGCGGCCTCGAAGGCTTCACCACAAAGTCGACGCGGAGCAGATGTCCCCGGAGCTTGCAGGACTTGCTCTTGCAGTACTTCACCACCCTGCCGTCCCTCCTTCACCTCCGAGTCGTTGCCCCGCATCCGCCTCACCTTCCCGCCAGCTTCGCGTCCCTCGTCACCAACAAGCAGAAATTTGACTCGCGAGGTCGCTCAAACCAGAAAAGCTTGGATGCCGCCGCCTGAGACTTGTGAGAATGACGCAGCTTGAGCCAAGGTGAGAGAGAAACCGCTTGAGGGTCAGACAAGATGATCTCTTGTTTGTTGAGCCCCAACATCTCCTTCAGTTCGTTCATGTCTGAGACATGTCAGGCAGACTTATCAAAGCTTCTTCTGACTTACCGGCATCTTTGGACAAGTTTCCCACGTAAACTTTCACCTCCGTGTCGCCATGATATTTCTCGATGTAGTTGCTGCCAGCCAGCTGCCCCTGCTTGAGTCCCCGCCCCATGTGAAAGGCTTTGCACATCATCGTCATTACGAGGCACCTCAGCAGCAGCTGCTTCACCTCCCCACACGTCGTCCATCCTCGCATCAATGTCAATCTCTGTGCGATGCTGCGTGTGTCCTAATCGTTGGGTGCGGTCGAAGGGTTGACGAGGGTCCTTCTTGTCCGCCTCAGCCCGTCGCGTCCTCATTCCCACCGCTGCTTCTCCGTGATGCGCCGCTCGATCGAAGAAACGCTGGACATGAAAGGCTTGAGGGACGTTCATGGCCGGGACCTAGCGAACAGCTTCCATCAGCGCAGTCGATTCTCTCTCTCTCTCTCTCTCTCTCTCTCTCTCTCTCTCTCTCTCTCTCTCTCTCTCTCTCTCTCTCTCTCTCTCCTCTCCCCGACCCTTCTTTCCTCCCTGTTCCTGCTCCTGCCCCTATCCCTCCCTCCCTCCCTCCCTCCCTCCTTCCCTCCCTCTCTTAACCGTCGCTGGTCTTGGCTCCCCCAGCTTCTTCTGTTCGAGCTCGCGCATCTCGCGGATGAACGCTTGGTGGGCGTTGCCAACCTGCAGCGTGGGATGAGCGATCGTAAGGGAGGGCTCGGGCAACCCTGTGAGCATTTCCCACGAGCTCAGGTGCCTTCTCTCTCGGCAGCTCCTCATGCTTTCGACGTGCTCGTTGGACGGCGCCAGCCAAGACTTGCCCGGACGACCTGCTGTAGCTGTCAGACGCTGCTCGAGCTCGAAGGCTCCGACCGGTTGACTTGTCTCTCCGGTGGAGGTTTCCAGACTCCCTTGCAGTGCAGTGGATCACAGTTGACAACTTTAGCCTCCCTCGCCCAAGCATGTCGCACTCGCCCGTACACATCGCGCTTGACCAGGTTGGTACACTTTTCCCCCTGAGGAGCATTGACCATCTGAGGTGAAGCATCAGATCGAGGTACAGATGATCTGATAGATCTCGATGATTGCATGATACACGGGAGGATCAAGATCGAGCAACAGGACTCGGTGACGAGTGGCGACACAAGCGAGGAAGAGCAGATGGAAAGGGAGAGAGTGGCGACACAAGCGAGGAAGAGCAGATGGAAAGGGAGAGAGTGGCGACACAAGCGAGGAAGAGCAGATGGAAAGGGAGAGAGTGGTGGCACTGGAGGCAACGTGATCAAGGATCAATGGGAATAAACGAAGATAACGAAAAATGAGATGGGGCCAGCTCTTGTCACATCAAAGACAGAGGCAAAAAGTACGAGCGAGGGAAGCTTTTAACTGTATGACGGTGGTCTACGTTTGTGATCTATGCAGCAAACAGCAAATGAACCAAGGTGGTGGTTGAACTTTGGAATGGGGAGGCAGCAAACAGAAGGGAAGAGCAAGGCTTAGTCATGGAAGAGAATGCGGAGGAAGATACTCTGATAGGGGTAAGGATAACGAAGAGACTCTGATAGGAGACAAAGGAAACTCCCGATGCGGTTCAAGCACAAGCAAGCAGCAAGTACGAAGGAGGGAGCAGCAGCCGTTGAAATCCATCGTGGCACCCTGCGTGGCACCGGGTTATTAGAGAGGGCCCGGCGCATACGGTAGTACTCGGCCCGGGCGCGGCGCCCGGCGGCGCGCCGCCGGGCCGGTGACCCGGCGAGGTACGGTGACCGTGGCGACGGATCACATGGATCTTATATAGAGCCCAGACTTGCCGAGCCCAAAAACTGAGAAATTGTAACTGTTCTGGAACGGTACGGTACTCCATTCCGACTATTCGATGGAATGACCAGAGGAAGCATCCTCGGGGCGGACAATACCCCTGGTTATCTGTATATAAGCATGGGGTCTTGTCTTCTTCTCTCTCTCTCTCTCTCCTTCTCTTCTCCCTCTTTCTTTTCTCCTCATTCTCTCTCTCTTCTCTCTTCCTTTCTCACTATCTCTTAATCTTTTTCTTTCTCCTATCCTTTCACTGGCAGTCTCTGTTATCTTCCTATCCTTGCTCTGCTTATAAATACTCTTATCTCAGAAGTCAATTACCTACCTGCTCTAACTTCGCTACTGCGGCATACAATCCATCATCACCGTACCGTACAGTACCGTACGGTACAGGCTGTGACTCGGCGTGATCGGACTGAGCACTAGCGGCACGGTCCGATCATCGAGGCTCCGGCGAGCCGCTCACGGGCCCAGGCCGGGCCCCCGGGCGGCTGCCGCTGAGCCACGGTGGGCCGGCGACAACTGCCGCACTGAGCCCGGCGGTGACGGGCCCGACCGTCCGGTCCGACTCCTCCGGAGTCCGAGGGCACTGCGGCACGGCCGGGCCGGGGCCCTCAGGCCCCCGGGCCGGCCCCCGGCGTCACGCGTACGGTCCGACCGTGATGATCCGGCCGGGCCCGCCGGGCCCGGCCGCCCGGCCCCGGAGGGGCCGATCGCTTCCTAGAGTCTGAGTGCGGCGATGATCAATTTGAAGGGGATGACCTTTTTTTTACTGGTGTGAAGCGTCACTGCCTCTTCGCATAGTAGAATGCTTCGCCATCCGGTAATTGAGGGAGGGGGAGACATGAGAGAGAGAGAGAGAGAGAGAGAGAGCTGAGGAGGGAGAGGAGGGAGGGAGGGG